TACTAAAAATACAAAAATTAGCTGGACGTGGTGGTGCATGCCTGTAATCCCAGCTACTCGGGAGACTGAGGCAGGAGAATCGCTTGAACCTGGGAGGCGGAGGTTGCAGTGAGCTGAGATCGCGCCACTGCACTCCAGCCTGAGCAACAAAGTGAGACTCTCTCAAAAAAAAAAAAAAAAAGTACCGAAGAAATTATTGGTGAAAACTTGCTGTGTTGAACACATGAGAGAGTCCTAAGGAATCTATATTTCTGAATGTATACAACATATATCTGTGAAATATGGTTGAAAATACAACCATATTTTCTAAGTCCTTGTCCTCTTGAGGTGGCATTACTTATGATTTTGCTATGCTTCTTTAGAAATGGATGTTTTACCTGAACGCATTATTTAGAAATACATCTGATTTGTGAAATCCCAAAAGATGCTACTCTCTAAAATACAATCAGTATTTCAAAGAATATTTAATGAAGTTTGGTAAGTACTCTAGCTACAATATGTACAGAAAATGTATTTGAACACTAAAGGTACAAAGGAATTTGAATATGATTTTTAATGTTATTATATGTACATAAGTAGGAAATGAGAATGAAATTTTATTTATTTATTTATTATTTATTTATTTATTTTTGAGATGGAGTCTTGCTCTGTTGCCCAGGCTGGAGTGCAGTGGCGCAATCTTGGCTCACTGCAACGTCTGCCTCCCGAATTCAAGGGATTCTCCTGCCTCACCCTTCTGAGTATCTGGGATTACAGGCATGTGCCACCACGCCCGGCTAATTTTTGAATTTTTAGTAGAGACGGGGTTTCACCATGTTGGTGAGGCTGGTCTTCAATTCCTGACCTCGTGATCCGCCCACTTCAGCCTCCCAAAGTGCTGGGATTACAGGCGTGAGTACCGTGCCCGGCCTGATTTATTTATTTTGGAGACAGAGTCCCACTCTCTCGCCCTGGCTGGAGTGCCATGGCATGATCTTGGCTCAGTGAAGTCTCGACCTCCCTGGGCTCAGGGGATTCTCCCACCTCAGTTTCCCAAGTAGCTGGGACTACAAACACACTCCACCTTGCCAGGATAATTTTTGTACTTTTTGGAGAGACAGGTTTCACCATGTTGCCCAGGCTGGGAGAATGACATTTTAAAAGTCTTTTTCTTGTAGGGATTGAACTATCATTTATTTTTGGCTTCATGATTTTTCAATACCTGAACAGTTTGCCAACAGCAACTATTGCTTTTTAAATTTTCTAGATAACAAGGCTCTTTCCAGGGTAGAATAAAGAGATTTCACGTTCTCCAAGTACCTATATGTATATGGGAACATGTAAATTGTATGAGATAATGATGATGGTTCTGTTCAAAACTACCTTCGGTATTCATTCAATTATGTTTAAAGATAAATAAGCATACACATTAGTATACAGTCATGCCCCGTATAACGATCTTTAGGTCAATGACTGACTGCATATATGATGGTTATGCCATAATATTATAATATCGTATTTTTATTGTACCTGTTGTTTAGATACACAAATACTTACCATGGTTACTATTGCCTACAGTATTCAGTATAACAACATGCTATACCACTTTGTAACCTAGGAGCAATGGGCTATATTACGCAACCTAGGAGTATAGTAGTCTATACTATCTAGATTTGTGTAAGTACACTACGATGTTTGCACAATGATGAAATCACCTAACAACGCACTTCTCGGAATGTATCCCTGTCATTAAATGAGGTATGACTCCTTATCCATCTATATGTGTACTTATGTTTAAAAAGTATATATAGTTTTTGAGATGGAGTCTCACTCTGTCTCCAGGGCTGGAGTGAAGTGGTGCGATCTTGGCTCACTGTAACCTCTGCCTCCCAGGTTCAAACAATTATCTTGCCTCAGTCTCCCTAAAAAGTGTATATTTTAAATCATGATTGTTGTAGTAACAATGCACTTAAATTTCACTCTCTTTGTCTGTATATTCATGTGTATTTGTATGTGTATGTATATGTGTACATGTATATATGTATACACATAGAAACTTTGATATTTAGCTTCATATATAAGTTTACATTAATATGGGATTTATTCATATATCATGATTCAGATCATATTTTCACTTCTGTTTTCTTGGCAATTTGCCATTATGAAAAATTTGCAAGACTTAATTTTTAGGAAATAAATACATATAAAGGGAAACATTAAGAAAAGATTATAGATGAATATAAAAATATGCTAATGCATTCACCTTGAACCTTTGAGAGGAGGACACAGAATTTATTTATACAGTAATGCAATCTGTTGTTAATTTTTTTTAGTAGTAAAATAAGATTAGGCCAGGTGCAGTGGTTCATGCCTATAATCCCAGCACTCTGGGAGGCTGGAGTAGGAAGATTAATTGAGCCTACAAGTTAGAGATCAGTCTGGGCAACATAAGGAGACCCCTTCTCTACAACAAAATATAAAAAAGAAAAAATTATCTGGGTGCCGTGGTGTGTGCCTGTGGTCCCAGCTACTCCAGAGGCTGAGGTGGGAGGATTGCTTGAGCCTGGAGGTCAAGGCTACAGTGAGCCATGATTGCATAGACTTGCCAGACCCAGTCTCTAAAAATAATAATAAAGAAATAAAATAAGATGAAATTTTAGATTTACTTGTAGGTTAAAATTTTGAGAAGGAAGGAATACCCTGTATTTTCTGATGCACGCATGTTATACTTGTGATTCAATATTTGTTTTAGAGTATATACATGTCAGCATAATAAAGATTAGAAGCTCTTCAAATCATGATACCTGAGAGGAGACATCATAGGAATTAAATTTCCAATTGTTAAATAAGTGTTTTATGAAGTGAACATGTTTTCAGAGACCACATTGTTATTGAATGTGGCAATCAAGAAGCTCTTGGTCAATGTTTCATTTAATATAAATATAGGTGTTGCAAATTTTTTATGATAGTGACAAACTGCCCAGGAAACAAAAATGAAAATATACTCCAAACCGTAACATACAAACAAACCTCATTTTAATGTAAACTTACTATTGTGTATGACACGAAATCTAAATGTTTGTGTGTATATATTGAAATTAGTGCGTGAGTATGTGAGTTTGCATGTTTATGTTGAAACTGTGAAAGGAAAATAAATCTCAGGATCCCAAAATCACTAAGCCAAAGGGAAAAGTCAAGCTGGGAACTGCGTCAGGCAAACCTGCCTCCCATTTTATTCCTAAAGAAGATGACTACAATGATTGGACAAAACAAAAACATAAAATGCCATATCTCCCTCACAATTTGCCCATCAGGCAATTCCTTGTGAGCCTCAAGATTTTTACCGTAAAACCATTCTGTTGAATTTCACCCTGACAATGTAAATGTTGACTTATCCTCACAGGTATGGAACAAAGGACAGAACTCAAAATCTTCCCTCTGCCCACTTGAGACAAATACGTATCTGATTGCTTCCTCTGCCCTGTTTATTTTATCCTACATAAAAAATGCAGATTCACTGAGCTAGATGAATGTGTACGTGACTATTCCTCTACCCTCATCTCACTTATGAAGGGCTGATCAAAGACTCAAAAGAATGCTACCCTGTGCCTCTTATCTACCCGCACCTTTTCAAAATTTCTTCCCCTTTTCTCCGTATTTGCCCTTTCCCCTTTAAATACTGAAGCCCTCAAAATCATCTTTGAAGAAACATGGACCTACCTCCCAGGCATGCATGTGCTTAAACTGGCAAAATAAATTTCTAAAACTGTTGAGACCTGTCTCAGATATTTTTTAGTTTACAAAACATAATCCAGATGTTTATCAGTATTACTAATAGGTACTGTTTATGACAGTGCTTTACTCTTGGTCAGCACATGGTTCTTTTCTGAATCCTTTGCAAATCCTTTGCAAGCACCACATCTTAATTACTTAAGATAAAATACTATAAGATTGACCCCTAAGTGATAAGCACATACACACTAAAGTCACAGGAAACCACTGACAGTCATATAATAACATAGGAACATGCCTGTGTTCCGATCTTAAATTATTTTGACTATGAGATTGTATCAGTCTCCTCTGACTGGAATTTATATATATTTGAGTTTGTGTATCCCTCCAAATGGGCACTGCATAGCACACAGTCTTGAGAACCATCTGGACGCTTACCTTAGGGTTCCAGACAACTGCTTCTCCCTCAACACACAGGCCTAGTGCCTAGGCCAGAAATGGAGTAGGACTACCAGGAAACCTGGGAAGTGAGTCAGGAAAGAACAACATGTACAGGTGCCTGGATTTGGTCTTCTCCAAGCCCTTAGATGCAACCATTTGCTTTTCCCTCTAGGCCTGGATCCCTGAGGTTTGACCCCTGATACACCAAGATAATTTAGTACCATGAGAAAAAGCTAGGTGAAGAAAAAGCAGAACTGTGAAGACTAGGTAAGTGGAAATTGAGTTCTTGAACTGAAAAGACCCCTGATGAGAATGTAGGTTTAGGCGCCAGTTTGATTTCAGATGAAAACCAAGAGCAGAATCACAATACTGTGAGCAAGTTTCTCAAGTCAGCCATATTTCCTGGTGCCTTAGTCTGTTGGTCACATCTTTTTTTCACACCGGACGGGCGGGAGAAGAGGGCTTGGGGCAGTGTTGGATGGAATTCCAGGAGCAATACTGCCATCGTGAGGAAATTTTTGGAAAAAGCCCCATCCCTTAGAGGACTTAAATTGGAAAGGTCCATTCTGTCAGAGGCTGAGCAGGCTCGGACCGTGAGCTGGATCTTAGTTCCACCTCCTGAGGCCTACCTGAAGCTCTGGACAGACTGAGGTCCAGGTGTAGGAAATGGCCCGCGGGGAGGGAAGACTAAGTCTGTCTCTGCCAGGAAGTCCAGGCCCAGGAAGTTGTAGGGTGGAGTCTTGGTATTCTCCCAGTATGGGCGGGACTGGAGGAAGCCACCAACCAACGAAGTACTGGGCTTGTGGGTATTTGTCTCTCTCCCCGCCCCTGAGAGTCTGGGAAAGGCCGACACGTGGTGCCTTCAGGCTCTGGGGCCTAGGACCTTTGTGGTAGCAGAGTCAGTGCAGAGAACCAGAAAATACCAGGTTGCTTATAGAAGGACGCCATGTGCTTGCTGGAGGTCTCAGGTGCAACCAAATTGCTTGCAGCTAGGAGGACCTTGAAGAGAAATGGAACCAGCCCGCCAAACCAAGAAGGGTTAGCACTTTTGCTAGGAGAGCTGACCACGCACAAACAGATGAGAACCAAAATCGAGTGAAGAGGATTGAAGATGAACCCACATTTTAAAAGTTCTTATCTGCTGGAGGTGGCATTACCTGTGACTTCGCTTCACTTCTCCATACATGGCTGTTATAGCAGGTACATTGTAAAGGAGCATGATTGTTTCTAGAAATGCAAAAACAGGTGGCAAGATTTTAAAACCTGTCATTATTCTGAAGAATACTTAATGAGATTTGAAAAGCATTCAAGTTACAAATGAGGAAAACTTGTTTTAGCATTCAAAGTACAAGAGAATTTGAACATATTCTTAAAGTATATACTATTTGTGCAAAGTGAAGATATAAGAATGTATGACAAGAATATTTTTAAGTGGCTATTTATTGTTGTGATTGAAGTACCATTTACTTTCTATTTTATAATTTCTTAAAATCTAAACGGTGCCAGCAGTGGGTGTAACTTTTGTAATTTCTTGAAATAGAAAGATCTTCTAGAGTAAGATAGAAAAAAAATCCAAGCACTCAAAAATATACATTGTTATTCATGTATGCAAATGGTATAAGGTAGTGTTGAAGACTTTGTGCAAAACTATATCCAGTTTGCATTCAATTATCTTTAAAGAGAAGAATAGTCCATGCTCCCAGGGGTTGAATAAAAATAAATAAATAAAGAGAAGTAAATATATATATATAATAGGTGCAACCATTTTTTTTCTCTCTAGGCCTGTAACTAGGTAACTTGGACCTATCTATCTAATGCATATACATATATATGCATTATGCATATATATGTATAATCATGGCCAGTGTTAGAGTGAGTATGCGTTTCAACTTTACAGATTTTACATAAAATTTTAAGATAAAATTTTGGTATAAGTTTTGAAAAATATAAACAAAAGAAACCCTAATGTTCTGAGGCATAAGCACGTAGTGCCTGTTCCAATGTTAGTGTGTGTATATATATATACACACACATTTATAGTCAGCATAGTAATGATTAGGTGAAGCAGGTATCAAAATTAAGATACTTGAGTGGTGGTATTATAGGTATTACGTCCTGTGTATAAATTTTTAAAAAATTGAGAACCTAATATTCTTTAATGACTTAGTCAATCAAGAAGCTCATTGCAAATGTTTTATTATCTAAAATCCAGGTCTTGCAAATATTTCATGACAATTTCAGTTACCCAGGAACCAACAGTGAAAAGTTTGCATCTAAAACATGATGCATATATAAATTTAATTTAAATATAAGTTTATTGTAGTGTATTACCATAAATACAGACCTGTGTGTGTGTTGAAATAATGGGAGTAAATATGCAAAAGGCTATTAGTGTTTAATACAAGATTTTATGACAGTGCTTTTGTTCTTGATCAGCACATAGTTATTTTCTAAATTCTTTACAAGCACCATGTCTTAATTACTTATGAGAAAACACCATAAGACTGATTCCTAAGGCTTAAGCAGTGGCACACACATACATAATAAAGTCATAGGAAGCCATTAAAAGTCAAATAATGATGTGCATGGGAACTTGCTTGTGTTCTAATGTTGAATGATGGAACCGTAAGACAAAATCATGTTCCTTTCTACTGGAATTTTGTAAGTTTGGAGTGTGTGTGTCACCCCAAGAGGGACATTGTATGGAATTCAGCCTTAAGATCTATCTGGACCCTCCTATTAGGGTTCTAACATGGCTGCTCCCAACTCAATACACAAGACCTAGTGCCCAGGTCAGAAAATGGAGGACTCACAGGGAACCTGGCAGTGAAACAAGTCACATGGCCTGGTGCCTAGATTTGCTCTTCTCCAGGCTGTTATTTCCATTATTTTCTTCACTTTCTTAGCCCTAGGTCCCTAAAGAATTTCCCACTGAAGCAGATAACTTGGGAAAATGTTGGGGATCAAAGTTGAATGAAGAAGAGCAGACCTACAAAGCTAAGGTAGAGTGGAAATGGGATTCTTTACACAAAGTATGGCTGATGAAACTGGGTGGTATAGCCTTCAGTCTGAGTTTAGAGGGAAACCAGGAGCAAAAGTGAATTCGAATGAGCAGATTTCCCCCAGACAGGGCCAATAGCAAGGCAACTTTGTTTCCTGTCTCCTTTGTCTTGGTGGCTTTTTCAGACTGAATGGGTGAGAAGAGAAGGGCTTTGGGGGTGGGGTGCATAGGCAGGGCTAATCAGCTTTTCCAGAGCAATACTGCCATCAAGAGGATGTAGTTTGACAAAACATAAACCCAAAGTTGTTAGAGTTCCCCCAAGTTTTAGCAACTGAGAAATGTTGGGCCTTTTGTGAGGTTGAGTGGACCCTAGCCCTAAGTACGTCCCCTTCACTTTAAATCTGAAGGCTTCCAGGAGCTCTGGACAAAGGCAGGATCCCGGGGGAGAAGCTGATAAGTGGAGGGTCAGGGGAAGGACTGAGGGGACAGCTGCTAGGCAGGTGGAGTATAGGAAGTATTGGGGCTTAGATATCTACCCAGTGAGGGTGGGGCTAAAACAAATGGCTCGGATCCTATCTGGGGGGACTTCTGGCCACATATCCTCTGGCTGTGCCCCTTGAACAATGAGGTGGGGGTTGGCACAAGGTGTCAGCAATGTTAGGGTACAGATGAAACATCTCATTCCAGATGATGTCTAACAGCAGCCAGCGTGCTTTCTAGGGGTCTCAAGGATACCTAAAAGTCTGGTGCCCCTATTGCTTAGAGCAAGGAAGACCTGAGGAGAAGGTAGTGTGTGTCACTTGGGCAAGCCAATAAATCATTGAACATCAACAGGAGTGCAGATATACACAACCAGCAGACCTGGAAGTATTTTCTGAAGCCAGGAGGTAACAGCTATGGTGGCTTTGCAGCACTTTTTCTAGGGCCCAATGTGAAGGCTTCCCTATTTAGAGAGACATACTCTTAGCTCTATTAAGGGAACAGAAATGAGTTCTTTAGCTGTTGGCCTTCCCCTGAGGAAGGTGAGGCCATTGAGACTTGGGACCTAACTGTTCATTCAGATTAGCAAATATTGTTCTTTATGCCTGCTTCTTAGCCTTTTTCTAATGAAGATTCCTTGTAAGGCCTCTAAGGACACCCTCCTTTGGAAAGCTGAGCACATCAGGACCCTCAGGACACTTGCCCATAGCATAGCAAGAAAAGGCAAAAAGTTCTTAAGATTGACTGCACATGAGAGTTTTCTTGTGTATCAATGATGGATTCAGTGGCTGACCACTTACAGAAGAGGAAGAAATGTTATTCTCGGGTACTGCTGTAATATATGGTCACCATCTGAATTCAACCTGCCCAGGGTGGAGCTATAACATCTATTAGGAAGTTTTTAGCAACTACTACAAAGACCATAGGGTCCCTGGGGAAAATGACTCTCCTACTATTCATGTCTTGGTCTAGCTGCCCTTGAGGATGTTATAGGTTGACATGAGCCAAGAAGGGTTTGAAAACATTTGAGAAAGCGTGTCTCAATGGTCTCAAATACCCTATGAAAGTGTAAGGTGACCTCTGACCTTTTCAGCCTACTTCAGCTAAGCAGGTGACTGAGAGAAACCCTGCATCAGATGGGTTAGGCTGCCAGCTGTTGAGTCATAGTTTGACTTGACCATATGCTAGACTAGGAAAGCCTAGTCTAGCATATGGTCATATGCTAGACTAGGAGAGGACAAAGAGGATAGCTGAGATTTCTTTTGCAAGGATGGCGGTGGGGAGGGGGCAAAACATCCATTGTCCAAGTTCAACTACAGTTAAGTTCAGCTATAGTAGGTAGTCTTTTTAAGCCTTTGGAAAGATTGAAATCCATTCGCCAAGTCCTCAATAGGGGAGGTGACCACACCTCTGATTTAGGCAAGAAAATGCAAAATGTTGTAACGGGATCAAACCATTCTGGTTGGCTAACAACAAGGAAATTGAAAAGAAAAATGAAGTTTTTCTTTCTCTCTTAATTACATACATTATTAATTCAAGTTGAACACATAAACATATTGGTTCAGAAAAGTAAATAGGCAGAAAGGAAGTTATCTGGAAAGTTCCCCAGTCAAGCAACTAACAGTGTGTAATTTTCTGCAGTGATGTTTCTAATGACTTGCCTTCACGTTTTAACTTAGACTTGTCCAAAGCCTTGAAATGTTGAAAATGAGAAAAGCTTACATTTGCAAGTTTTTAAAAAATTCAAGAAACCAGCACCATCTCAATATATAATTAGGAAAAGAACATATTACAAGATGTATTTTTCTTTAAAACATACACACACACTTCTACACACATGCAAGATTTAAAGGCTCTATTCTGAATTCTATTTCCAAATTTTACTTAACAGAAAATCCAGCTTTCTGAAGCACATTTAATGACATATGATGAGACTTATGTGATGTGAGACCTGAGAAAACTATGATAGAAAGAAGCAACTCAAGCTGCAAGGATATTCCTCATGTATCATGCAAGGATATTCCTCATGTATCATGTAAGTAAAAACTCACCAAATCCTGACAACCTGTCCACATGTGCCCACAATGTACAATTATATATTAAAAAGAGTAGAATGCAATATAACAAGCATCAATGGAATATCAATTAAACTTCTTAAGAATATCATTTCTTTACTGCTATATATTTGTTCCACTTACTGATTTTTTCCCAGATGCATACGATTCTTACGGTTTGATCAACAGTAAAAGAATGCTATGAGATTTAGCCATAAAAAACTATCTTGTTCCTCAAGAAAAGTTAATGCTATTGGAGAGTACTCATGGTCTAGAGTTGAGTTGAGAATTCAGGGCACCAAATTCTATGTGTAGTGGGACCAGTGAGGATGGATTTGAAGAAAAGAAATGGAAAAGTGTGTGTGTGTGTGTGTGTGTGTGTGTGTGTGTGTGTGTGTGTCTAGCATTGTGCTGAGGAATGTGGGGAGTATATTGATGAGATATAGACTAAATTTATTTCATTAAATAGCATCAGTTATTATTGAACCGTTATATATCATTTTTTAATGTTTAAACCAATATACTCATCAAGCTGCTAATAGTGGATGCCTCAAAAAAGTGGGATTTGTGATAAAGTGTTTCCATTTGTTCTTCATATATTGCGTATTCTAAGAGATTTTTCAAGAAGCTGATGATATATTTGTAATTTGAGAGTCAACCCAGAACAAATATGTGCAAAAGAAATTATTGGTGAAAACTTGATTTGTTGGCTATTTGAAACCTAATATATTTATATCTTTAACTGATCACAGAAAACAGGTGTATTCAGGACACCCATATTTTAAAAATCCTTATCCGCGTTAGTGGGCATTACCTGTGGCCTCACTGCACTTCTTTGTACAAGGCTAATGTATCTGGTTATTTTGTAAACATGTATGCTTAATTTTAGGAAATGCAAAAATTTAAGAAGCAACCTTAAAAATATTGCCTATTCCAAGGAGTAGTTAATGATGTTTCCAAATACCTCAAACTGTCATAAGTGAGAAAAGCATGTCTGACATACAAGGTAACTGGGATTTTAGGTTAAAAAATCTACATTATATGTGGATAGGGAAGATACGAGAATGTATGGCAAAGACATTTTAAAAGTCATTTCTTCTAGTTTTCATTGAGATACCATTTATTTTTGGCTTTGTAATTTCTCAAAATATGAGCAGATTTCCAACAGCAGATGTTACCTTTATAGTTCCTTCGAAGAGAAACTTCCTTGTAGAATAAAGTATAAAGAAATTTCCAGCTAGGGAAAATAGATGTTGATATGCGGAAACATGCAATTTATGTAAGCTGCTGCAGAAGACTTTGTAGAAAAGTATGCCCAGTATAAGTCAAGTTATAATTAAGGTGAAATAAATGTGCATATATATGTATAGCAATATTATGTGTTATATATATATATAGCAATATTATATGTTATATATGCCACATTTAAACTATATAATAAATGGAGCAATAAGAAACATTTTTGTTTGTTTGTTTTTTGAGACGAAGTCTCGTTCTGTAGCCCAGGCTGGAGTGCAGCAGCGTGATCTCAGATCACCCCAACTTCCGCCTCCAGGTTCAAGCGATTCTTCTGCCTCAGCCTCCAGAGTAGCTGGGATTACAGGTGGGCGCCACTGCATCCAGCTAATTTTTTGTATTTTTAGTAGAGACGGGATTTCACCATGTTGGCCAGGCTGGTCTTGAACTCGCAACCTCAGGTAATCCGCCCGCCTCGGCCTCCCAAAGCGCTAGGATTACAGGCGTGAGCCAGCGCGCCCAGCCAAGAAACATTTTTCTGCAATGCCTTCATTACTAAATATGAAGACAAAAATTTTATATAATGTGGCCAAACTGTCTTAGAATCAGGAGTGGCAATCTCCTAGGCAAACCATCATGTACAAACAACCAATTTTAATATAAATTTATTGTCACATATGAACATAAATATAAAACTCTGTGTGTATTGAAAGGAGTAGGAGGACATGATCTAAAAAATTATCAGTGGTCTTAATCAGTTTTATGATAGTGCTTTACTCTTTATCAGTGCATGGTTACTTCTGAATCCTTGGCAAACATCATGTCTTAATTATTAATGAGGAAGTGATTTTAAGGCTTATCTCTAAGAGATAAATGGTAAATACAGATACAAAGATAAATACACACACACACACACACACATGCACACACCCCTACATACCCAGTGAAGTGGTAGGAAGCAATTGGAGACCATTTAATGGCATCGGAAAGTGTCTTCGAATGGTAAATGAAATCACAAGACAAAACTCTTGGAATGAGAGCCATTTGGGCACTTCTCTTAAGACTCCAGCCAAATGGTTGCCAACAAGTCAACACGTAAGACTTAGATCTCTATCCTGAAAATATAGAATTCCTTGGGAGCCTTACAGATGGATGAGCCAGGCAAGGACATGTGGTTTGGTACTTAGAGAGAACCTCCCGGCCTTGAGTTTCTAACATTTTCTTTTTCTGCTTAGGCCTGGATTCTTGAGTCTTGAATCCAGAAGCAGAAGTTGGTAACTTGGGAAAATACTGGAGATGTAATGCTGAGTGAGCGAGAACACAACTGTGAAGGCTAAACCTATTGGAAATGTAGTTCTTAAAAAGAGAAGGCCTCAGTTTCGTTTCAAATGGAAACCAAAAGCAAAAGTACAGCAGCGTGATCAGATTGTCCCAAACTAGGCAAAAGTAAGGCTGCCATGTTTCCTGGCGTCCTTTTCTTGCTGGCGTTTTTTTGGACAGAAAGGGCGGGAGAAGGACTAAGGAGCAGTACGTGTTGGTATATCTGGAGCACTACTGCCATCGTGAGGAAATAGTTTTAAAATGCCGTACGCCATTACAGCGTCCGTCCCTGGAGGTCTTTCGGTTTAGAAACGTCGGTTCAGCGGAGAGACTGAACAGGCTCTAACCCCAAATTGGGCTTCCCTGACTTCTCTGAGTTATTCCGGGATCTCTGGGCAAAGACTTGATGCTAATATGACAAAGGTGATATCCAGGTGTAAAAGCCTGTTGTTGGCGAGGCAGGACAGAGCCAACGGCTGCCAGAAGTCCGGGCACAGGAAGTTGTTGGGTGGGGCTTCCGTTGAGGATAACTTTCAGGGCCCAGTGAAGGGCTTGTGCCCATTGTCTCCTGTTCCTGTTCCTGCCCCTCAGAAGATGGCTCAGGTCAATTCACCTTGTTCTGGAGCCATAGAACCTGGGCTCCCTTTGATAGCAGCATCACAACTCATAAAATAGGCTAATTTGAGGAGATATCTTATAACAGCATTTGTGCTTGCTGGGGAATCTCATACACAGCAAAAGTCCGGACCCCATTGCCTTAGAGCAAGGAGGGAAATGAAGAAACACTGGGAGCCATCCTGCCAAGCCAAAAAAGGCCAACTCTCCTGCTTAGAGAGCAGAGGCATACACAAAGAGGCCAAAAAATGTTATGCTTATAGCCAAGGCCTGTCCCCTAATAGAGTTTTGCCATCATCTCAGATCTCTTGGTGGGGTTGGTGGGGAGGAAAGGAAGAGTGCTCATCTCTTTATTTGTTCTCCCAGAGGATGCTGGACTCCTTGAAGTCTAGTGATTCTCCTCATACATAACAATTGTTCTTCTCTGTTACTTCTTCATAAAAAGCTCCAGTTGAGGATACCTGGTAAGCCTGATAACCCATACTTCTTGCTCCCAAGTTGATGGAGAACGTCTAGAATTACTTGGGATTCATTGCATAATGGAGAAACATTCTGGCCCCCTCTTCTACTTTCCTCACTCAGTTAGCATTTGACCTCATAGAGTAGTTGAAAATGATTTTTTGTACGTGTGTTTGCGTGTAAGCGTCCTGTGACTAAAAAATTTAAAACTTTCTTTTCTGTCGTATTTAAACCAATGGCAAAGTTGGTAAAGGAATTAAACAGGCAATTTACAAAAGAAGAACTCCAGCTGTTTATTAAATAAATGAAAAGATACTCAATTTTACTACTGTTTATGACATTCCAATTATCTACACACATTGTGTTTATGTATGTATTGTGTTAGTTTATAAATATATGCACCAATATTTGCACATATTCCTGTATCTATGCATACATGCCTGTTATATATATATTTATATGTACTATGTATATACGCATGCACATTAAGTTATATACAATTTTTACAAATATAGAGGTATATATAAAGACATGTATGTGTAAATGTGTGTGTGCACAATTAAAATAATTCTATTCACTTAAATATTATATTCAATTACATATCAATTATTTCAGTTAAATATTAATTATAACTGATATAGTAAATAAATACAACTGAATTATATTAAGTTAAATATTAAATAATTCTATTCAGTTAAATGATTCTATTCAATTAAATATCCTATTTAATATTCTTTTATCCCCAAGACTTAGAACAGTGCCCAGAACTTGGCAGGAACTAGATAAATATTGGTTAAAGGAATGTATGATTTCCTCTACATATTGAGAGATCTGAGATGGTAAACACCAAAGTGCAAATAGTAGTAACTGTACTACCATATACTGTTTATGAATGGGTGCTCATGTCTTTTTTTAAAAAAACATTTTTCACGTTTTTTAAAAAAGGATGCTTTATAAAAGATAAGAAACATCTATTGTTTTAATATATTTAAAAATACAATTCAGATTATAAAGTATCATCAATAGTAAGAGTCTTTTTTTTTTTTTTTTTTTTTTTGAGACAGAGTCTTGTTCTCTTGCCCAGGCTGGAGTGCAGTGGCGTGTCTTGGCCCACTGTAACCTCCGCCTCCCAGGTTCAAGCAATCCTCCCACCTCAGCTTCCAAAGTAGCTGGGATTACAGACATGTGCCACCGTGCCTGGCTAATTTTTTTTTTCTTTTCTTTTTTAGATGGAGTCTCGCTCCATTGCCAGGCTGGAGTGCAGTGGCGCAATCTCGGCTCACTGCAACCTCTACCTCCCGGGTTCAAGCGATTCTGCTGCCTCAGCCTCCAGAGTAGCTGGAACTACAGG